ATTTATTGTCTTTTCCTTCGTGTAACTTTTCTTACAATCTCCCTCGTTTTTTCATTTTTCTTTTCATTCGAATGGCAAACGGGCATGGGATCAAGAGCCTAGTTTTCCCTAAATTATATTCTTGACAATGCTCGGTCTTACATTAGAGGACAACCGAGGACGTCGCTTTTGAAATTCCATCCTCCCGTGCCCGCGTGCATACGCATATGAACCGCAGATGTTCGCGACGTTTGTTTTTCTCGGTTGATACGAAAAGATTCGCTGTCATCGAGAACAATTGCTCGTGACGAGCGAACTTCGAAATAGGATTGGGATCGTCGAGATCGTGCAAAGATCAATGCGTTTCGCCTTGGCGAAATCAGGATAAAAGACATGACACGAATTGTCGGATTGTGTTTGACCACATTCTGATGGAAGACCCACAAATTCTTTTCACGGAAAATAAGCGTTCCACAGCAAAGAATGCAGACAGATTAATCTTCGCGCAATTTAATACAATTACGATTTATAATATCATTACTCATTCTGGATAGAATATAGAGTTAACAATTGTCGATTAATGTCCATTTTTACCAATCTAGATTAACTTTTATTTAAGTTTAATTTACTTTTTAATCTTGTTTTAGTTCTAAGAATTCGAAAGATAAAGAAATAAAAAGAGAGATTAAAATTGATTTATATTGATAAAAATAGACGTTCATCGTGATTTATCATGATAACATATCGGCACGATATAGATGCAACTTTACGCTGATGCCTCATGCTGTTCATTTATAACATCGAAATAAATCACATCATCAAAATTGACGTCAGATATTAAAACTACGTTATTTTGATTACATTATTTTATTTAATGTTAAAAGCAAGCAGTAAGCACCAGCATAAAAAGATACTTTACTGTGGCTATCGAAAATCAATTTATTATCGGGAAAATTAAGATTATCCACGAAGTATTCTAAATATCGACAATCATGTATTTTATCCTTCCGCGACTTCTGCGACGCACTCGTCTTCTGATTTTGAAAGTTGCATGGATCGGAAAGTTCAAATCGCTTCATGCGGTTTTGAACAATGTACATCGTGTTTTCACGGACGCGAGAAATCTCGCTAAAAAAGGGACAATTGATTTCGCTAAAATACGTTTCTGTTGATCGATAATTGATGAACCGACCATTGAACGTATTTTGAACTAAAATTGCAACACATTTCTGGCGCAGTTGATATGCATTGCGCGTAAGCATAATGCCAATGGTGTGATACGCGATAATTTGTTTAATTCATTATTCGTTTTTTTTTAACGTAATTTTGTTCAGGCTGGTGACTAATAATTTTATGAATTGTACGTCTGATTGTATTTATAAAATGCTGCATAAACGATATTGTTAACAATACTCGGATTCAAGTTGATGTGAAATTTTCGTGTTGAATCTGCGTTTCATTTGTGTTGTGTGTATTTTTTCAAACAAACACTGGAGTTTGTTCGAAAATGCTGAATATCCGCGATAGGCTTGTTTAAATTATTTTGCAGTCGGGCTATTTTGTTCAATATCCTGTTAATTCTTCTTCCTCACATCTTGTCAATATTGGAACTTGTTGAAAAATATGCTAGCAATCTTGATGTAGTGCCTTGAACTTTTATTGCAGCTCACCGCCTTTCTGTTGTTGTTGATCCCGTTGTTGTTGCGCTTGTAATGTATCCTTAATGTGTTTCTCAACCTAGGAAATAAATGAAATTATAAATAATGATGATATAATAATGGTAATAAATATTTAGACATAACTACATATTTTTTTATCCAAAATGTTATTTTATATTTTTATGTATTTTATTTATATTTTATCAGGTTGTCTACTTAATCCGAAAAAAATTCCTTGATTTTCAATTTGTTAAAAAAAAATGAAAGCATTTGTATTAAAAAAAAAATGAAAGCATTTTTAAATATATTTTACAAATAAATATTTATTTATTATGCAAAATCCTTAATATTTTTCAATCATAAAAATTTATAAATCATAAAAGAAAATTAAGAATCATTCAAGTTTCAATAATTAAATTTTAAAAATTTTAAAAGAAATTATAAAAAAGAATTTTAAAAAATAAATATTTTCTGTAGCACAAAATTTTCAAACTATATTTTCAAAAGCTACAAAAATTATATAATATAATCAGTATAAAATTCAATTTTTATAAAACTGTTAAATATCCGTCTTCATTAAATAAAATTGCATCTAACACATCCGTTATCTTCTATACTGAATGTTGAATTAGTCATAAAATCAATGTACTTTGGTCAATGTACTTTAGAATGGATAAGTTCACTATTATCATTCACTATTATTAACAATTCAGTTGGAAAATTCTCAATTATAATCTAAAGACAAGATATTAGAAAAAACTTATTCATGGAATAATATAAAAATATATAATATGAAAAGCTTAGTGGCGCGCGCCTGTTATGTTCTAATATTAGAAAAAATAACATTAAGACTCAGTTTTCTTGCGGCACAACATGGGTTGTGTGACGTCGGAGACGAGAAATGACATGTTAAAAAGACATGATCTTTTCGTATTCTTAAAACTTGTAAAAAATTACCAGATCACTAGTTGTTTGTCTAGTTGTTTCTAAGCAGTGTACCATTATTTCAAGAATTATTTTACATTTTTACATGATTTATTGAACAAAGATCTTCTATCTTATTTTCTGGTATTTTTTACAAATTTTAAGAATATGAAAATATGTTTTTAAGGGAAAAGTACAAGATAAAAACTATACGACGCAAGAAACTTTTTACATATCATTTCTCGCCTCTGAAGTCATAATTCAATATGGCTATAGAGACAATCGAGACTTAAAAAACTTAATTTTTCAAGATACAAATTCTTAAAAAATTTAAGATTTTCCAAGTTTTACCAGACATCCTGTTTATATATTAAAAGAAAAAAGAAAAAAATTGAGACAGAATAAAACGCTAATTTAATTTATATCTTCAGTTTCCTCAAAATCCATTCTCCTTTTATTTCTGAATAAATATTTTAAAATTATATTCTATTAATTAATACTTATTAAAAAATCAAATTTATAACAATCAAATTAAGGAAAAAAATGACAATTTATCACATATAAGATTGGTTATTTAAATATTTATATCATATCAATACCTACCACTTTTTTTACATGTCTATATGCACCAGATTCTGTGTTTCCATGAACATTGTCCACTTTGTATGGCGGTCTAATAGTGACATTATTAAATACAACAATATTAGCTCCATTCCACGTAATATCTTGTATGGTTTTTGAGATAGCAATAAAAAGTTTCTGTCCTTCTGGAGATACTCCGGCCTGCAGAGCCATTACCAGTCTCCTCTTCTCATCGATCTGATTACGGACTCTTGTGTTTAGCCTTTGTAAATTAAGGCTCTGTGGTGGTTCACTGGTAGTAGGACTAACTTCTCGTGTCACTTGAACATTAGACACGAGGGATAAATTTACTATATGTATATCATTTAACGAGGGTCTTCCACTTGATGATGGAGATTCTAAGAAGTTATTATTAAGGAAAATCATTCTTTCAGATATAACAGATAAATGTTGTAAGATCTTAGGAATCCCTAAATTTATATAGCTGGTTTATAATAATAATAATAATAATAAAAATTTTGTATTTTGTAATATCAGTTGAAATTTTGTATTTTAAAATATCAGTTCTCATAAATATAATGATAAATTTGTATTATCCATCATGTTTTAATGATTGGCAAATCTTTAATTTACAAATCAAAAGATTTATTGCAATATATTTTAATGCTTAGAGTTAGTTTTAATTTTAGAGTTCGCAATAATCCACATTGTATCACTGATACAACTGATTATCAATCAAGAAAACCATATAAAGGTAAGATAACTAGTACATCGGCAAAAATAAACCGTAAATGAACATGTGTTTTCGAAATCGAATAAAACTTGCAGGGATGCGGCAAATTGTGAATAGCACATTAACAACGTGAGAGGCGATCAACAACAAAACGTGCATGTAGTGGGAAGGGGGGGAGCAGATAGCAAGCAGATAGACCAGCATGGTTGACGACGGATGCACGAAACTAACCTGAATCGCGCGACCGATCTGTTCCGAATCGCCCTGGACGAGCCGCGAGATGTAGCCGATTAACGCTATCGAATTCGCGATGTCGAATTGCAAGAGAAACTTCGAATGTTAACACATGGCGCGAATTGCCGTTGCCGTTGACATCCGCTATTTACACTGTGTCTCCACCGTGGAAGCACACGCGGAATCCCCCGCTTACAAACGCCGTCGGCGATGGTCGATGTCGTTCTCGCGAAAAAAGGATACTTAGTATCAGCATTTTGGTCTGTGGATCGAACGCCAACACCTCACCCTCTATCTCCTTCTCATGGCAGGTTTTACAGAGCACCGTGCTGCCGATGCTAAACCAGTCGCTGGCTCCGGCCATTTTTCACTGCCGACGGGCAAGCGATGTGCGACGCGCCGTCCCTCTCGTGGCCGCGCTCGCTATACTACAATTACAGCGCCGTGCACCATCTTGCGAGCGTCCATTTAACTTGGAATCTTTTCCAGTGTGCTTGAGAAACGGCGCCACTGTCTTTGTCTCATGTTCTGGCAGCAAGCTGGCTCGCGATATTTTTAAAGAGGACGCTGCCAGGTTTACTTTTTTTTTTATGTCAAGTTCTTTGTTTAATTTGAAGAATTATTTACATTACGCGTAAAACACACACACACACACACACACACACACACACACACACACACACACACTTACCACGCGCGCATATACATATATATACGCACGACGCACAGTGCGTAAAATGCTTTATATATTCCCCGATAGTCAAGTCTATAGATTTTGAGCTAAATATGTCAATTTCGGATAAAAGGCAATAACTTTCAAACAGAATCTGTACATCTGTATATTTGATATCAAATAAGAAAAGAATATATATTTAAGTTACTTTTATCTTTCGACATACTCCGACACTTATATACTGTAATGCTAATTTTTTACAATATTAATTTTTGAAAATAATAAAGTTATTGTCATACGAAATGCGATGAATCAAAAGTAAAAAATCAAATGTAAAACAAAAAGCAGAATATAAAATGTGAGCGTGCGCGTGCACATGCTGTGTATGTATGAAATCGCAACAATCGCTGTCTACTAACGACCTCTGGGTATCTAAATGAGATAATAACAGGCTAAAAGGTAACGCATATGATAATACAGAAAAAAATAAAAGGTATGTGATATAAAAGAAATGTATCTTTCTTCTATAAACTAAAAATTATGCATATTGAAAAATAAATAATTGCAAATATTAAAATTACATTTTTTACGAATCGTATATTTTATATTTATTTAAAAATGCTTAATGTTAAATTATTTATTAAAATTAGTTTCTACGCACAATGTTCAATGAGATTTTCAATGAGAAAGTTGAATTTTAAATATGTTATAATAAATATTTAATAAATATTTAAAACAATTCTTTGAAAACATTAATATCAGATAATTTCTTTGTTATCTTGTTTATTAGTTTTAAATAATTAAATATATTAATATTAAACTTCAAAACGATTTTAATATTTGAACAATATGAAAAATACAATAAAGATAACAATTAATATTAATTAATAATTTTTATTATATAAAAAGAAAGTTGTGCGTGTTAAATCAATTATTATATTTAATTATCTTGTTTACGTTTAATACCCATGAAGATATTTCTGATTTTATTTTTACGTTATTTTTAGTTATTGCGATTAGCTTACTGTCGATTTATTTTTTTTTTTTTCATGAATCGGCAGTAGTTTAAATCACGTCAGTGGCGGAACAACTGTTACAAACTGCATCACATTTTGTTTTTCTCGCAAATTAATGCCCAAATACAATTATCATGTGAAAATTTCGAGCATTCTCTACAAACTATTGTGTATTAATTAAACTTTAATTATCATTATACGTCGATCTCGCAATGTCAGAATAAACGATCCGCTTTTATGTTCTAAGGAATAAATCGATTATACGCCATAAAATTCGATTTCTTTACTCATCGAACCGTTGTTATATCGAGCGATAGCTGTATGTATGGTTATGTATCGTATGTTTAGATATGTTTCAATTGCAATTAAATTGCAATTTTATTTACATCTTTTGTTATAATTATTTGTAATAACTAAGATTCGGATCAAACATTTGAACATATTATATAATCCATCTGTTCGAGGCTAAGAAATGAGCATTAAGTTCGAATAGTTATGGCAGTTTGAATAGTTTGAATTTAAATAGTAATTGATCTGTACTGTCAATTGATAATTGATCTGTACTGTATTATATTTGAAATTCAGACAATACAGTAAAGAATATTGGAAACGCATGCATTTGAAATAAAAGAACATTTTTTTACAACTTCTTGTTTTTAATTGCATAAGTAAGTCAATTGTAAAATATATATAGAAATTAGAGTAGAAATATTTATACTGTGTATATAAATGTGTAACATTCCATTTTCTATAAAATCAAATCATATTTACATTTGAAGTTATTTTTTAACGGTCGGCTTATAACGGTTAAAAAAGCAAAGACGTATGTACGAATTATATCCATCGTGTCAGTACAATAACACTTTCTGGGGATTACGACTTTAAACGCAAAGCGGAATATTTCTTGTCTCTTTTTTCAAAAGTGGAACATTTTCGACGTCGATTGAACACGTTCCAATTGCCTCTTCTATGTTATTCGAATAAACGAGAGTTTGATGATAGTGATTTCATTCGGTAAACAACAAGAATAATACATGATACAACTAGACTTGTATCTGTTGCTGGAAAGCACTCGATCTCTTCGATGCGGACGCCATGAGTTTGGAATGAAAAATAAATTGCCCACTTTGCCACGCTGACGAGACATCGCGCTCCGCGATTTTTCGCGGCTTTTCCTCGACTATCCTCGGACGCATCCGCCGGCGCTCGGCTTGGCGGGCAGTTCGTTCGTTCGCACGACGCGCTCCGTTTCCAGTTTACAATCGGCGCCTAGATGAGTCGTGTCACCTCATTCGTGGCCGAGCCAATTTTCTCGGGCGACACGCGGAAGTGAACCCTCTTGCCGCGTCGGAGTATTATGCTCCTCTTACAACATCCGATGGTGGTGCGAAGATCCGCGCGAACGAAGAAACGTTCGGATCGCGATGATCTGAACGCGAATCGCGTTTAAAATCATTCAAACGACGAAAAATTGGCTGCGCTCACCGTGATTCGTGAAAACAGCGGATGATAAGTGATAGTGAATAGAATCGCGACGAAATTGCTGCACTAATTGGAAGCGAAGGTATGCTTTTCTTTTAAATTTCCCGATTTCTCATGCGATTTCGATTTCCGGATACATTCGGCTTTTAATTGATACGCGAACTGATTTTTGATGTTATTTGTTGTATTGTAGCATATCTTTATGTGTCTTATGGCCGCGAAGCTACATAATGATATAACACGATCACTCACAATGAATAAAACATGTCTGATGAATGATGATGCAATAGGCTATACGTTAAAGGCTAGCTTTGATACTTTTATGATTTAGCAATTAAAATGTCACAATATTGTTTATTTATTAATATTTATTGATGTTATTTATTGATCATTAGTGTCTCTTTATCATAATGTTTACCTCGACAGAATAAATTTTTAATTAGGCCTTCCTAAATTTTTTCTTTATAAGCTCACATATAATCTCTTCTCCATGAATTTTTTGCTCATCAAATCTATGAGTATCTTGTTTTTATGTTCATCTCTACCAATGTTTATTAATTTTAATCTCGATTTAATTTATTCTTTATTTTTTTAAAATTCTTTTTGGAATGGAAAAAAAATAAAAAATATTAATGAAGTGATTCTTGGTATTGCGTACCGTAAACAGAGCTGATTCTCATTTGCCCATTCACCACGTCATGATAAAAAATATGTTAAGCCGAAATTAAATCAAGATTAATTTACTTTAATAAAAACGAAAATATTAATGATCATTTTATGACGAACATCGCATTATCGTAATATTCTTACTTTTCTAAATTTTTACCTGTTTTTTTATATTTTTTATTATATTAATTTATACCTGTTGATTTTCAATTTTACAAAGCTTTTAAAATTTTTTCTCGCATATCCCCTAATGACATTTGATTCCGTAAAAGTAATTTCCCCCATAATTTACACCGTAATTTTCCTAATAAGCTTAATTAACGATTAGCTGTTTCAATCTTTTTTTAACAAAGTTAATCCTTTCATCCGTGATTATGGATTAAGTTAAAATGGATTAAGTCCCATTTTTTTTATTTCGAAAAATGTTTTTTGCATTTTTATAAATTGAAAGAAACTTTTTAATTATTTAACGAGAATATTAACTCGACATAAGTTCGGATTATACAATGAAGATTGAAAATTGAAAGAAATTGATCAATTGAAATAAAAAAATTAAGGTTATATCTGATTGGTCGAATTTTAATTTTTAATTTGCAATTCGTAATCTGATATAGGCCTTAGTGCGTCTTTAATAGCTTTTACGCTTCGCATTGCAAAACGGAATGCAAGATTGATACATGTTTCTTCTTTAACAAAGCGGGGTTGGAAGGAGAGAGATATTCGATCGATAGTTCGAATTGATTGCCAAACGGGTCGTCATTCGTTCATCTTTCCCGACATGTTTACCTCTTTGCAACTTGGCTAGTATGAAGGAATTCATTTTTCTGGATAAAGTGCAGAATCGCGCGCACAAGCGCATCAGACGCGCGTTTCCATTTTCGTATATACCGTCTGCGTCTATCTCGGGACGAAAATGCATTGAAGATTAATCGAGACAGCTGAATTTCATTGTGCGCGAATCGTGAATGCTGAATTCGAATTCGCCGTGATGGGGAATAATAATAGGTCGTATGTCTGAAATCGGGAAAGTGGAGGTTGCCTCCCGTTATTTACAGAGGAAAATATAACAGAATACACTGGGAGATCGAGGAGGGAAGTCTGTATTGTGTGCACGAAATGCAGAATGTATTTTCGTTTCATACTTTTACGTACGACCGAACGCTTTTGCCTCCACCTACGTTCACCACGTTCTCATTTGCATAACTCAATATTTTAACGGTCGTGGTAACGAGATATCGCGAGATCTCGCGAGAAAGAACGTTATCTGTAACGAAGAAAGAATTTTGAATGACGGAAGTTACGCTTTGACGATAAATATTGGATTTGATTGATATAAGTGTTAAATATACGCTTCTCGAGAAGTTAAACGAGGAGAGCTAAATGGCAAATATTAGGTTCGACAAATCTTAAATATGCGCTTCTCAAAGAGTTAAACGATGCGTTTCAATAAACACCAAGTGGATAAACATCTTGGCAATCAAGAGAGCTAGTTCTAGACTGTTCGTCGAGAATATCTATGAATATCAAACGCTTGTGAACGGTAGTCAGCTACTTAATCCTCCTTGCTTTGTTCCAAATTCAAGAGCACTTTAGACACTTCGTAAAGTTGAAAGGGTTCTATCAGGATCATTTCGAAGCTCTCTGGCTCTCATTTAGCTCGCAGCTTCATTATTGTTCCTTCCGTCCGTCTTGAAGACAGTTGACTCACCTCGTGCCATTGGTCTCTCAATAAAATGGAACGTATTGTAGCTGTTTAATGAACTCGAGAATTTCACGTGCCTCCCCCGTCCCCTCCCCCCACCCTCTCCTGTTTGAGTTGTAACATCATCGTTCTCATTTCTCCTAATCTCCCATTTAGTTTTTTAAATTTCGCTCATTGTTCACAGAGACTTTTCACCTGTCGGCATTCGAGAATGAGTGTGGTAGTAAAAAAAAAAAAACATATTACGAAAGTTGTTACGTTTAAATTGGCTTAGTGGATTAAGTCGATTGGATTAAGTGGTTAATAACATTTAGAAGGGACACGAATTGTGAGTGATATGGTAAACGAGTGTGATACACGACACGTTGCGAATTCTCGCCTGACGCGTTGAGGCGAGATGGTCAAGAATAGATCCGAGCACCCTTCATTCACTTGTCATCCAATTGCAGAATTCTCGAGAGTCTTCTCGAGAGCTATATTTTAATATATTTTTAATAGAGTCTGTCTGAATAATTTATAACAAAACAAAATGAAAGCGTCCTTTAGACATGATCTTTGATAACGATTTTATTTGCCTCATTTGCCTCATTTCGTCGTGTAATTTTCTAGAGTAGCATCAAATAGTTATGAGCTTACTATTTTCTGAAAAAAAGAACATTAAAGCTCGCGAAGAGACGACAGCATATAGTACGCGATTCAAGTACATCGTTACTAGAGACAACAAATCACACTAATGTTCGCTCTTACATTGCTGCTGAGTCGCTAGCTGACCATGCAATAAATTCTATAGAAACTTTGTTGCTGCAATTGTATATGGCTTTCAACTTTAGTTTTTTGTTTTTTATCACGTTGTAATATTTATCACAACGTGATAAAAGTATTAGCAAGTACATAGCGATCGAAAGTTTCTATTAAAATTTTCTTTGATAGGATTTTCACATCGCTTTTTAGCTATATGTATTTTAAGATTTCTATTATTGAAATTATAAAATTGCATTGATGTGGAAGATTTGTTAGAATTTGTATACAATAAGATTGATGAAAATAATTTGCCTTAGAATAATCTAAATAAAAAACAAAGGATTATATAATAAAATTAATTGACTTATAAGTACTTTATTATGAATAAATAGTGGAGACAGATTTGAAAATAAAAAAATATTCTGAAAAAAATCAAATAAAAAAATATAATGAGGGTTTAAATGAAATAATGAAATAATTTAAATAACAGTGTACAATTATAAGCAAAGGTTAAATTTTAAAATTTTAAAATTTGAGAAAATTTAGCATGATTCTTTAACGTTGAGTCTGTCAATGAACATTAACAATAATTATTATGAAATTTTTGTTTCACAATTCAAATAATATAGAAAAAAATATTTCTTTTCTTAATCTCAACTTTTAATTAGAAGAAAATTAATACGTCAATATTTGATTTTCGCTTTGAAAGATCTCAATTTCATAAAATGAATTATTCTATTTGGATTTGATTAATTTATTTTAGCGCATACTGGCAAATGTTTACAACCGTAAAATTTTCTTTATTTATAAGATCGTGTTAAATTTTACCTTCTGGATTGATTTTTTTCTTGTTTTTCGATTTCTTTTCTCTTTTTTTTTTCTTTTCTTCTTGTTCTGCCGATAGACGCGTGCAAGTAGGTTATTCACGTCAGTCTCATAAATAGGTGCATGGGCTTACATGGGGCATGTGATACTTATTCCTCGATATAAGTCTTGTTGCTATAGATATGATACACTCAGCAAGGCCAACAGGAAACGAAATTAGGGCAAACGAGGGATAGTCTCTAGTGTGTTGTTTTCGATTTTGCGGTAAAGGACAAGAAAGTCTTGTCTGAAAATTGATTCTGCATATTATCTTACGTCATTTTTGTTGCATGCGCGTGTGTATCGTTGCGTGCAGAATCAAAATAATATCTGCATAAAAGATATTAAAAGAAAAATTTGATAAAATTTTAGTTTATTACAATTTATTACAATTTATTAATATTTATACATTTTTTAACACAGCAATTTTTTTCAATCTGAAGATTATTATTTGTATGAAAAAAATATCTAAACGATATGCAAAAATAATTTTTAGAGTCATTATTAAATTTAAATTTAATAATAAATAATATTTTAAATTTTTAATATTTATATTTTTCGTTTAAATAAATTTAACAATTTAGTACGCAATCCAGTATGCAATTACGTATGAAATTACATTAATTTAACTTTGTCATAATTGTTTTTTCACTTATTTCTCGAATTTACTGTTTTTATTTTATTTGTTTTAAAAACTACTGAGACAAATTTTTTATTTGCATAGGAATGTTCTATAGTATCGAAGTTTTCTTTTTTGATAAAAAAAATTAGTTTGACAAAAATCTCTGTTCTAAATTATTCATCTAGAATATAGATAATTTCTGCTTTATATCTTTAAAAATATTTACGAGTAGTAACAATAGAAGTCCACTGAATAAATTATTAGAAGTTTATCTCTTTTTAATAACTTAGCTGTTTGGATGAAAGACACTTGGACTATGTCTGCGTGTCAATTTGTCATTTGTGATGGTGTATTCCTAAAGTTTCACTCTTCTCAAAAGTTATTTACATGTGACAGGCAATTTCCCATAGTTATTTTAAGAATACATATGTAACCGTCCATAATAAATGATATATTTATGATTTTCACAAGAAAGTGTAGTATGGCG